TAAGCATCTGCCTTCGGCTCAGGTCATGATCCCAGGGTCCTGGGATCGAGCCCCGTATCGGACTCCCTCCTCCACGGGAAGCCTGCTTCTCCCTCTCCCACTCCCCCTGTTTGTGTTCCCTTTCTCACTGTGTCTCTGTCAAATAAATAAATAAAATCTTTTAAAAAATAAAAATAAATAAAATTATGGCAGATCTTTTTTTTTAAAGGTTTTTTTTATTTATTTATTTGACAGAGAGAGAGAGACACAACGAGAGAGGGAACACAAGCAGGGGGAGTGGGAGAGGGAGAAGCAGGCTCCCCCACCGAGCAGGGAGCCCGATGTGGGGCTCGATCCCAGGACCCTGGGATCAAGACCTGAGCCGAAGGCAGATGCTTAACAACTGAGCCACCCAGGTGCCCCTGTCTTCTTTTTCTTTCTTTTTTTTTTCCCTGTCTTCTTTTTCAAAAAGCAATCACTATAGACATATTCATCCACACTTAGGAAATGTGTGAGAGATACATTGATGTGCTTCTGGTTCTAGAAATCTAGACAAGATATGATGTTTAGCTATAAGCTAGAAACACAGAGGTCACCCTTGACATGGGATGGGCATCATATTAAAGCCCATATACTTACATCCTAAAGGTCTCTCTAATTTACCCACTTCCTTCCACCTCCAGCCCATTCACCAAAGTCACCATCACCCCTTGACCAGGCTGCTAAAACTGTCAGCCCTCCAATCAGCTCTCTACCTAGCATCTGGAGAAATCTTTCCAAGACACAAAGCTGCTTACATTTGTTACCCTCAGTTTGGAAGTGTGCATGGCTCTCTACTGCTCCTCATGAAAAAAGAATGAAACCTTGATAGGACCACAAGGCCTCATGAAGTCTGGCCCCTGCCAACTTCCCAATTCCACCTCGTCCCTCCCTACTCCCTTCCTCCTTGCTCTGGGCTCCAACCGTCTTCTCTGGCCCTCAGGGACATGACCCTGCTGGAAGGCTCCTCTTGCCATCTCCCTGCCAGTCTCCGGCCTTGATCAACTTCTTTTTTTTAAGATTTTATCTTCTTTAAGTAATCTCCAACACAACCCCAAGATCAAGAGTCGCATGCTCCACCGACTGAGGTAGCCAGGCAACCCCAGACCTTGATCAGCTTCTAACACTCACAGGTCATGTCCTCAGGAAGGTTATCCTAACCCCATCATTGCTCTCCTAGCCTTCTGGAACTTTCCCTTCATGACACTCATGAGGTTGTATAATTATGTTTGACTAATGTTTGTCTTCCCCACCAAAGTGTTCCCGAGGCAAGGGCCTTCTGTTCATCTGTGTTGTTCCCGCTCTAGTCCAGCACTCAAACAGAGCACGGAAGGGACTTAGAAGGGACAGACCCAGGATTTTCTTCCAAAACGTTTGCCCTACCTGATGCTTTACACTAAAAATATATTATTTTTATTTATTTGCGATATAATTCATATACAATAAACCCATTTTAAAGTATACAATTCAGTGGGTTTTAGTATATTCAGACATTTGTACAACCATGACTACTACCTGATTGAAGAACATTTTCATCACCCAAAAGGACCCCTGCACCCATTAGCAGTCAGTCCCCATTCCAGCCTCCACTCAGCTTGGGGCGACCAACCACCAACATGCTTCCTGTCTCTGCGGATCTGCCTGTTCTGGACACTTCACATCAACAGAATTCTAAAATACGCAGCCCTTTGTGTCTGGCTTCTTTTACTTAGCACAAATCCTTTCAAGGTTCATCCATGTAATAGCATGTCAGGACTCCATTCCTTTCCACAGCTCAATACGACATGTGTTGTTTATAATAAAGATGACTCTTTTTTAATTTAAGATTTTCTTTTTTCCTTTGAAAATGCATGCATTTGATGCAGAAACTGAGCTTTGGGAAGACACCAAAAGAAAGAGAGATTTGTCTACAAGAGTATTCATTTCCAGGGGCGCCTGGGTGGCTCAGTCGTTAAAGTGTCTGCCTTTGACTCAGGTCATGATCTCAGGGTCCTGGGATCGAACCCCGCATCAGGCTCCCTGCTCAGTGGGAAGCCTGCTTCTCCCTCTCCCACCCCCCTGCTCGTGTTCCCTGTCTCTTTCTCTGTCAAATAAACAAAATCTTAAAAAAAAAAAAAAAAAAAGTATTAATTTCCAGGTTTCCATAAAATTGGAAACTACCTAAATACCTAACAACAGAATGTGGTGGGGTTTTTTGTATCATTTTTCTAAAGTCACAAAGCTGACCCTTGATTCTCAAGTTGGACTCTGGTTCCAGGAGGATCCAGGGCCCTGAGGCGGTGAGGACTCCCCACCCCAGCAGCTCAGCTTTTATCTGTTTGATATATTGGAATTCCCCAAGAAATTTCATTTGAGAAAAGGTGTTATTGCTTAAAAATGTTCAGTAACTACTTCTGTAAAAAAGGATTCATAGTGTTATTAACTATAGTCACCATGCTGTGCATGATAGTTCATAATAATATTGTATTGCCTATTTGAAAGTTGCTAAGAGAGTAAACCTTTTTAAAAGTTCTCATCACAAGAAAAAAAACTGTAACTACGGTGATGGCTGTTAACTAGACTTATCGTGATGATCATTTTGTAACATATAAAAATACTGAATCATTATGCTGTACACTCATAACTAACATAATGTTATATGTCGATTACACCTCAATAAGAAAAAAAAGGATTCACAGATCTATGAAGAGCTTAAGAATATATTTAACTAGAAAAGACAGACTAAAAATCAGTAGCTGTTATTGCTAATCACCAAAAACTGGAAACAACCTAAATGCCCCTCACTGGTAAATGGGTAAACCATCTGGCATTCATCTACGCAGTGGAGCGCTACTGAGCAGTAAAAAGGAGCCAACAACAGACACACACAACAATGTGGAAGAATCTCAGAAGTGCAAGAAGCCAGATTTAAAAGGCCATCCATACTGTGCAGTTCCATTTATAGGACATTCTTGAAAAGGTAAAACTGTAGGGATGGAGCACAGATTGGTGGCTGTGTGGGGTGAGGGCTGGGGGAGGGGTTAACCACAAAAGGATATGAGGCCATTTTGGGGAGGATGACAGAATTGCTCTGTATCTTCATTACAGTGGCAGTTACCAGACTATGTACATGTGTCAAAATTCCCAGTATCAAACACTGTAAGGGGTGAATTTTGCTGTAGGTAAATTACACCTTAATAAAAATAGTCAATAGCTCTATATGCTGGTATATGAACAGACCGACCCCAGAAGGACACACAGCTGCAAAGTGGCTACCTCTGGAGGAGAGACAGATTTTTCATTACATGTTCTTTGATTTGGTCTTAAACATGTGTATGTATTACCTCTTCCAGAACAAGAGACATATTTACAAAATAAACCAGTAACAATGAGCCCAGGCAACTGCAAAGTTTAGAAGTGTGTGCAGTAAGGTGTGCAAGACACGTGAGAAAACCATAACACTAGGAAAGCCTGGGGAAAAGGAGTGAAAAAGCAAGAGATACTCTGGGTAAACATAACAGAACAAACCTACATCTAGAACCCTCACTAACACGATGACAGGACAGCCAAGGGGTAACAAAGGAACAATACCACAGGACAAATAAATCACATGGAAAGAGACTGCAAAGATGAGAGAAGGCACCAAAATGAAAAGCCAACAGAAACTGGACAAGTGGTAACTGAGCAAGTAGAGAAAACAGAAACCCTGCGTGGTGGGTTCTAGAAAATGCCCATAAATTCTTTGATATTCCTTCAAGAGGTAAAGGCTAATTCCCCTACCTTTGAGTGTGGACTGGACTTGGTGAGCCCCTTCTAATGAACAGAATGATGTGGAAATGAAAATGTGCGTCTTCAGAGACTGGGTCAGAGGTGGCTCCGTGGCCTCCTCTCTGCTCTCGCTCGGACGGCTCACTCTGGGGGAAGCAGCCATGTTGTGAGGACACTCCCAGCAGCACTACGGAGAGGCCAGAGCAACAAGGAACTGATGTGCCATCAGCCATGTGAGTGAGGCATCTTGGAAACATATTTTCTAACCTCAGTCAAGCCTTCAGATGACCGCAGCTGCTGCCAACATCTTGACTACAACCTCATGAGCCCGTAAGCCAGAAACACCCAGCTAAAACACTCCTGGATGTCCAACCCTCAGAAACTGTGAGAGATAATAAATTTAAGCTGCTAAGTTTACAATGACTTTTTTACTCAACAATAAACAACTAATACACCCTTTATGGCAATAGGTTAAAAAGAAGCTGATAGGGGCGCCTGGGTGGCTCAGTCATTAAGCATCTGCCTTTGGCTCAGGTCATGGTCGCAGGGTCCTGGGTCAAGCCCCGCATCAGGCTCCACACTCAGCAGGGAGCCTGCTTCTCCTCTCCCTCTGTCCCCCTCCCCGACTCATGCTCTCTCTCTCTCAAATAAATAAATAAAATCTTAAAAAAGAAGCAGCAGCAGCTGATAAAGAACAAATGGATTTGTTCCAGGGAACCCCAGAAAGGTTCAGATCAAACAGACCAATGGATAATAAAGAATAAGAATCCCACTTATAGGGGCGCCTGAGTGGTTCAGTCGTTAGGCGTCTGCCTTCAGCTCAGGTCATGATCCCAGGGTCCTGGGATCGAGCCCCGCATCGGGCTCCCTGCTCCGCGGGAGGCCTGCTTCTCCCTCTCCCACTCCCCCTGCTTGTGCTCTCTCTCTCTCGCTCTGTCAAATAAATAAATAAAATCTTTAAAAAAAAAAAAAGAATCCCACTTATAAGAATGTGACATATAACAGGTGGCAACAGAAATGAGTGGGTAAAGTATTAACTATTCACTAATGGTATTGGGACAACTACTGTCCATCTGGGGAAAAAGAAGTTTGGTACCCTACCTCACACCATTCACAAAATTAATTTCAGATGAGGTATATACTAAGTTGCTGTATATACAACAAATGTCCACACAATATCTTATACATGAATGTTCACAGAAGTATTATTCACAATAGCCAAGAAGTGGAACCAAACCCAATACTCATCAACTGACAAATGGATAAATAAAATGGGTAAGTAATGTATATCCATACAATAGGATAGGACTCAGCCACAGAAAGGAATGAAGTACTGAAACCTGCTACAACATGGATGAACCTTGAAAACGTGATGCTAAAAAAAGGAAGTTAATCACAAGATATCATGTATTATACGATCCCATTTATATGAAATGTCCAGAATAAGCAGATCCATAGAGACAAAAAGTTTAGTGCTTTAGGGGTTGGTGGGTAGGGGGACGGGAGTGACCGGTAATGGGTATGGAGTTGATTTTCGAGGTGTGAAAACGTTCTAAAACTGGTGATGGATGCACAGTTCTATGAATATACTAAAAACCACTGAGCTATGCAAGGTTTTGTTTTTTTAAAAGACTTTATTTATTTATTTGGCAGAGAGAGACACAGTGAGAGCAGGAACACAAGCAGGGGGAGTGGGAGAGGGAGAAGCAGGCTTCCCACTGAGCAAGGAGCCCGATGTGGGGCTCGATCCCAGGACCCTGAGATCATGACCTGAGCCGAAGGCAGATGCTTAACGACTGAGCCACCCAGGTGCCCCTGCAGGGTTTTTTTTTTTTAAAGATTTTATTTTTTTAAGTAATCTCTACACCCAATGCGGAGCTCAAATTCACAACCCCAAGATCAAAAGGCACTCACCGACTGAGCCAGCCAAGTGCCCTGAGATATGCACTTTAAATGGGGGAACTGTATGGTATGTGAATTACACCTCAAAACCACTATAAAAAAATAATAGAAGATTGGGGCACCTGGCTGGCTCAGTCAGTTAAGCAGCCGACTCTTGATCTTGGCTCAAGTTATGATCTCAGGGTTATGAGACTGAGCCCCATGTTGGGCTCCACGCTGGGCGTGGAGCCTGCCAAAGATTCTCTCTCTCCCTCTGCCCCTCCCCCTGCCTCTCTCTCTCTAAAAATAAATAAATAATAATAAATAATAATAATAGATCAATTCCAGATGGATTAAAGAAAAACTAAAAACAAATCAATAAAAGTATGAGAAGAACTTCTTTGAGCAGACACAAAATGCAAAAGCCATAAAGCAAAAAACTGATGAATTTGTCAAAATCAGAATTTTGAACTTCCATGCAAGTACAGATTTGCTGGAGGTGTCGGTGCAGAAATGAAGGCCTGACCTCTCTGGCTGGGGCACGGGCACCAGCCAACTGTGTTTCGGCCCAGTGCCTGCCTTCAGACGAGTTACACGTGGATGAGCAGCACAGCCAAGCAGCTGAGTGGGCACAAGACAAACCAAGAACTGTGGGTTAAACTGAACATTTCATTTGGGAATGAAAAACTTCCGTAGATAATTTCTGCAGACTTTGAGTCCCACATTTCTCCTGCAAAGTGTGGATCTTTGCCAAGATAACTTTTGTTAAAGTTACATTACTGAGCCATGAGCTGAGGTGATCAGGTGGAAATGCTATTTAAAGGAGAACTATTCTCGGGCGCCTGGGTGGCTCAGCTGGTTAAGCGACTGCCTTTGGCTCAGGTCATGATCCTGGAGTCCCTGGATCGAGTCCCGCATTGGGCTCCCTGTTCGGCAGGGAGTCTGCTTCGCCCTCTGACCCTCTCCCCTCTCATGTGCTCTTGATCTCTCATTCTCTCTCTCTCAAATAAATAAAATCTTAAAACAATAAATAAATAAATAAAATAAAGGAGTACCATTCCAGAAACTGGAAGACTGCAGCCAATTTTGAATCCCAACCCTTATTATATTTTCAAGGACTGAAACTGTCAAACTGCACATGAATCACTTCTAACGTATTCCTGCTTGAACTGTGCTTTGCTACCATGTACTGTCCCGTATTTCCTTAAATTCTCAGGTACGGTTTTGGCAGGGAAGACCTTGTAATATTAACAAATTTAACAAAATCGTTATCTAAGTAACTTAAAAAAAAAAAAAAAACCTTCCAAGTAATCAGTCACCATAAACTAAGTTAAAAGACAAGGAGCAAGGGCGCCTGGGTGGCTCAGATGGTTAAGTGTCTGCCTTCGGCTCAGGTCCTGATCTCAGGGTCCTGGGATCGAGCCCCGCATCGGGCTCCCTGCTTGGCGGGGAGCCTGCTTCTCCCTCTCCCTCTACTGTTCCCCCTGCTTGTGCTCTCTCACTCTCTCTGTCAAATAAATAAATAAAATCTTAAAAAAAAAGGAAAAAAGACAAGGAGCTAATCAGGAGAAACATATATAGCATGAAAACAGGCAAAGGTTTCGTATCTGGAGTATGTTAAAAAATTCCTACAAATCAATTTTTTTTAAAAGACAACCCAATGGGGGGGGCTGCCTGGGTGGCTCAGATGGTTAAGCGTCTGCCCTCGGCTCAGGTCCTGATCGCAGGATCCTGGGATCCAGCCCCACGTCAGGCTCCCTGCTCGGCGGGAGGCCTGCTTCTTCCTCTCCCTCTACTGCTCCCCCTGCTTGTACTCTCTCGCTCTCTCTGTTGAATAAATAAATAAAACCTTTAAAAAAAAAAAAAAGACAACCCAATGGGAAAAAATATAAACAGACAATTCACAGAAATGAAAATATGAACGTTAATGCACATATAAAATAAAGATACTCAACCTCACTGGTAATCAGGAAAATACAAATTAAAATAAGATGCTGTTTTAGCAAAACTGTTAAAAGATCAGCAATACAGAGTACTATGGATGATACGATACACTCACATACTGTTGGTCGGGGTATAAATTAGTGACACTGTTTTGGATTACCTACTATAAGTGTGTATAATCCACTGAGAGCCTATAATTCTACTTTCTGGTATTTACATCAAGAAGTAGTACTTAAACAAGAATATACGACCGTTCATGCTAGTATAAAACCAAAAATAACCAAAACGTCCCCTGATAAGGCAGGGGATGGACAAACTGGGGTCCGTTCCTACAGTGGAGTGCTATGCAGCAGAACAAAAGAGCAAGGTATGTGAAAATGCAAAGATCTTCAAGAAATACTGTTGAATGAAAGCAGGATAGGAAGCAGGGAAGGAGTATTTATATAGTTATAATAGGGTAGCTACAAAGGCCCACCCAGGTGTCATTTGTACAAGATAAGGGACGGACATAAGGGAGAAAAAGCTTTCCAGGCAGAGAGAACAGCAAGTGCAAAGGCCCTGCGCCTGAGCAACAGCTCTGTGAAGGCAGCAAAGACCCCAGTGACAATTCCTGGCCCCGGGCAATTCTAGGGTTACTGACTAGATGTGACCTCCAACTCACCCCCTCACTGTGCTGCACCACACTGCCAATGTTATGCAGAGACTGGAAGTTTTGGGTGTTCACAGAACCAAACTCCAAAATCTCGTCATCCACTTGCAGACCCTAAAGAGAGAAGAGAAAATAGAAAACCAGGGTAGAGGTTAAATGTGCTTCTGGTGTTTTTTACACTTCCATGCCCAACTGAACGTCCAGGCCAAGAGCTTGTTTTCTGCCGGGAAGAGAGGCAGGCACAAAGCAAAGAGGTCAGGGATTTAGCTACCTCACATGGAGGGTGGTGGCGGTGGGTAATTGGGCCACCTCCTCCTGGGGATTCCTTCTAGGACAGATCTAGTAAAAGGGGGGCAGATCTGCCCAATGTCTGATAAAAGCTGGTGGTGGTACAGGCCGTAAAGAAAGTGGGGGAAAAGCCAAATGCTGTCTTCTGGGGTGAGGGGCGAGAAGAGGCAGGCTAATCTGGGCCTATATTGTTCAGGGGTCAAAATTTAGGCAGGTTTGCCCTAGAGGTCCCCAGACAAACAGCCACAGGCACAAGGCTGACCAAGGACTAGTGTGATCCTTTCATTCTAAGAACACAGATCATGATTCATTCATTCCTTCAACAAATATTTGTCGTGGGCCAACTACAGCCCTGTGCTACATGCTGTGCATAGAGTAGCAAGTCAAACGAAGCTCACGTATAACTTACCATTTGTGATCATTAGAGACTTCCGGCAGGACCTGGGTTGAGGACCCAGTTCCATAGCTGAGGAGCTACGTGTCCTGGCACCAGTTACTTCAGGTCTTAGAGGCTTTGTTCATGGGTAAAATGGGGTTAAGATCAGTGCCTACCCCAGAAGGTGGCTGTGGGATTAAGTATTAACTACATAGCCACATAAAAACTTGAACATGATGTTCAGGGTCACATTATTCATAATAGCCGAAAGACAGAAACCAAATGTTCATGAACTGATGAATGGATAAAATCGATGGGACATACCCACACAAAAGAATATTACCCGGCCATAAAAAAAGAAACAAATAGAGATATACGTTCTATCACAGATGAACCCTGAACACATGATATTAAGTGGGAAAAGCCAGTCATAAAGGGTCATATATGATTCCATTTATATGAAGTATCCAAAATAGGCAAATTCATAGACAGAAAGCAGACTGGTGGTTGCAAGGGGATGGGGGGGGATGGGATTGGGGGGGATGGCTAATCGGTTTAGGGTTTCTTTTCAGAATAATGAAAATGTTCTAAAACTGCTTGCAGTGATGGATGAACAGCTCTGTGAATACACTAAAAGCCACGGAATTGTATAGTTCAAATGGGTAAATTTTATGGTGTGTGAACAGTTCCTCAATAAAGCTGTTTTAAACTTTTAAAAATATGCCAGGTAAGATCTAGAACTCGCTTGGCAGACAGCTGGTGCAAAGCAAGGACTCAGTAAATGGCAGCTACTGTTGTCCTTCTCATGTCTACTACTTAGTGTCCGGCTGAAATAAGCCCAAGAGATCCTCTTTCCCTCTCTCGGAATAATTATCACCTTCTACCTTGTGTCTCAGGGCCCCTCCCTGACCAGGTTAGCGAGCAGCAGGGGCTGACTCCTCTCCAAAACCCTGGCCCCGGCACAGGGCTGGGCCCCCAGGGCTCAGCCAGTGCTTGCTAAGTAAGTGGGTGGAGTCCAGCTGCAGCATGGAGAGACAATGGGTCTGTCTGCCCATGGTCCGTCCCACCAACCCCGAGGCTACGTGACCCACAGCACCCTCTGGGGATGGATTTTGGTGGTGGGGTTCTGGCTTACCGCGATACTGGCGGGGGAGCCAGGGCTGATGCCGTTCACTTTGGCGAAGGCCTGAGGGGGGCTGAGGCCCTCCCTCTGGCCCTGGTTGCGGCTCATGGCCTCTCTGTGGGCCTCAGCCATGTCCCGGGCCTGCTTCTCCTTGTCGCGAGCATGCAGCTGGTGCAGGGCCTTTTCCACCTGCTTCATGATGGCCTGGTGATCATTCTGCAAGCCTGGGAGGAGAACGCCACATCAGGGGACGAGGAGAACGGCTGAGGACACCAGACTCCCACATCCACTCACTGAATGGTTACCAAGCACTTATTCCTGGCCAGACATTGGACTAGAGGCTGAGGACAAACCTGTGACCAACAGAGGGCCACCATCATGACGCTCACAGTCCAGCAAGGAAAGCTGCCCAGGAACAAGTCATTACTGTAACATCTGATGACTGTTGCTGAGGGCGAGCCAGCCAGGACCCAACCTTGCCAGTCTAGGAGATCAGGGAAGCCTTCCAAAGGCAGCGCTGTTTCAACAGAGACTTGAAAGGTGAGGAGAAGCAAGAAATCGCCCCACTGAATCCACAGCCTCAAATGCATACACGGGGCAAGTGTGGTGGCCATGCAAATGAGTGACGTGAGCTGGGTGTAAGGACTTCACTTTTCTCCTAATGCCCCTGGAAGGAAAAATGATGCCTAAGTCCACTAATACATGGCAGGTGATGTTTGGTCTGGGAGAAATAACAGCAGAAAAGCTAGAGATGAGAAATTTGGGGGTAAAATCCTCTTTTTCAGTACTGATGGCTAATTCAAAATGTGGAGAACTGGGGTGCCTGGCTGGCTCTGTTAGAAAAGCATGCAACTCTTGATCTCTGGGGTAGTGAGTTCAAGCCCCATGCTGAGTGTATTTACTAAAAAAAAAACAAAAAAAAAAACTTCTGAGAATAGTTTTTCAAAAGAAGATCAGTAAGAATTGCTCACAGATGCCTGGGTGGCTCGGTCAGTTAAGCGTCTGCCTTCGGTTCGGGTCATGATCCCAGGGTCCTGGGATCGAATCTCATGTCACTCTCCCAGCTCAGTGGGGAGTCTGCTTCTCCCTCTCCTTCTGCCCCCTCCCCCTGCTCATGCTCTCTCTCTTGCTCACACTCTCTCTCAAATAAATAAAATCTTAAAAAAAAAAAAAAAAAGAATTGCTCAACCAAATTCTTAAATATAATAAAGTCATTAAGATAGTGTGGTATTGGGGTGCCTGGCTGGCTCAGTCAGAAGAGCGTGCAACTCTTGATCTCAGGGTTGTGAGTTAAAGCTCTCTGCTGGGTGTACAGATTACTAAAAAAATAAATAAATAAACTTAAAAAAAAAAAAAAGACAGGGACGCCTGGGTGGCTCAGTCAGTTAAGCATCTGCCTTCGGCTCAGGTCATGATCCTGGGGTCCTGGGATCGAGCCCCGCCATCGGGCTCCCTGCTCAATGGGGAGCCTGCTTCTCCCTCTCCCCCTGCTCCTCTCCTGGCTTGTGTTCTCTCTCTCTCTCTCAAATAAATAAATAAAATCTTAAAAAAATTTTTTTAAGTGAGGTATTAGCAAAGAGATATATCAACGGAACAATGCAAAAAACTAAGATACCTAAATACATCTGAAAATTTCCTGTGTCATACTGCAAGCATTTCAAATTAATGGAGAAAGACTAGGCTATTTAATAAATGGTGTTGGAACATCAGGGTAACCATCTGTAAAAAAATAAGTCAGTGCCCTCTCTCACACGGTAGGCTCTGCTTCTCCAATTTCCCTCGGTATCCTAAATGCCAAGGAAAGCAGGCCACATCCCTCGGGAGTCTGAGGGTTTTGCCAAAAGCCCCAAATTTCCCTCCAGTCTTAACATGGTTTTTCCCTACTCTGTATCTTCCACCTGTTTCACTATAAAAACGGTATGCTTCTTTTCCCAAAACCTACAAGGAAAAGTGATGTTTGAAGATGCTGTTCTATGATTACATGGCAGCTTCGAGGGACGCTTGGCAGCTCAAGAGGTATCTCACGCCTATGGTTACTTGTGCCTCCAGTGAGAAGCTCAGCCTTATACCAAAACAGGCTGTGGATGGAATCAAGATTCAGACCCGTAAGCCAGAGGTCATTAAGTGAAAGATGTGCACAATAAATTCCCCTAATAGGACTTTGTGGGGAAAGGCTGCCAGTTGCCCACCTGTGGCAGGGGTGAATAACGGCCCCAAACATGTTCTTGTGCTAGTCCCCAGAACCTGCCCGTATGTTACTTTCCAAGGCAAAGGGGGCTTTACAGATGTGGTTAAGTTCAGGATACTATGTGGGGAGATCATCCTGGATTACCCAGATGGGGGGCCCAGCGTGATCACAAGGGTCTTCATAAGTGAAAGCGGGAGGCAGAGAGTGAAAGAGGTGGGATGGGGGACCAGAGGTTGGGAGGTGCAGATGATGGCTTTGGAGACGGGAGGGGCTCTGAGCCATGGGACACAGGCACCTCCAGAAGCTGGGAAAAGATAAAGAAACAGGCTCTTCCCTAGAGCCTCCAGAAGGAACATAGCCCTGCCAACACTTTGATCTTAGCCCAGCGACACTGATTTGGGTATCTGATTATTTTAAGACAATAAATCTGGGACATTTGCAGTCACTAAGTCTGTGGGTATTTGTTACAGCAGAAACAGAAAACTAATATACTCCCCAACCACTACTCTCAACTTGCTCCTCAACTATAAACAAAGAAATGACTTTATTTAGGACAGTGACAGGCCCACCACGGGGTACATTCCCCACGTGTCTTGCAGGCAGAGGGGCCAAGGAGGGGAAAACAGAAATCAGTGCAACAAGGCAGAGGTGGACCTGCAGGACAGATCCTTCAAGGGAGGGTCCTGGCTGGCAAAGGATCTGTTGCCCTTCCTACCTTCTTCCTTGCCTTCCTTCCTGCTTGGCACATGGACATGGTGACCCTAAAGATGGACGACATGTCCTAAGGATGGCAGAGCCTGGGATCTGACGGCAGGCCCCACACTGGTGACCTCCACATGGCTATACTGAGGGGCAGAACACTCCTGTGTGAGTGGCCGCAGTCAGGTCACTATCCTTACCAGGTGAATGTACTTCCTAACACATAACTGATCTGATTAGGATTGTAAGCCATTTGTGACCTGGGTTTCTAGCATCATTTCGGAAAAGTTTCCACAGTGAAGTCCTTAAAAACAAAATGAACAATGAAACCACAAATTTCGAACCCTAGAGGCCACCCCATTTCCTCAGTTCTCAGTCCCTGGAAGAGAAGAGTGAGCTAATCCCATCAAGGTGGAAGAGAGGAAAGCAGAGAATACGGAAGAGTGAGATTTCACGTATGTGCCTCAGCCTCCCTCGCTGCAAGCTGGGGGATCGGCTGCGCACGCGCACACCACTCACAGACGATGTTGTGCCTTGCAGTTCGAACTTGGTACAGGTCCACGTCTGACCGGGGGTAGCCCTCGCAGTCCACCAGCGGCTCGCTCATCCCCACACCTTTTTGCTGGAGGGAAGAAACATGCTTAAGATTTCACAGGTACGGGGCGCCTGGGTGGCTCAGTCGTTAAGCGTCTGCCTTCGGCTCAGGTCATGATCCCAGGGTCCTGGGATCGAGCCCCGCATCGGGCTCCCTGCTCCGCGGGAGGCCTGCTTCTCCCTCTCCCACTCCCCCTGCTTGTGTTCCCTCTCTCGCTGTGTCAAATAAATAAATAAATCTTAAAAAAAAAAAAAAAAGATTTCACAGGTACGAAGTCCTCAAGACCTTTTCCCCTTTGCAGCCATCATCAAGGCGACAGGAATGAAAGCTGCCACATATCAATCACACAGCACAGGCCACATACTTTCCCCAAACGCTCCCACAACCACCCTCAGAGGGGGGCACTATTTTTTTTATTGACTTTTAATAACACAAGTAACGAATGAATCCGTTCTCCTCTTTTGAAGTTGGAACAGTGCAGAAACTAAAGACTCTTTTGAGCTTCGTCCCCAAGGCCAGCCTTCTGGACTCCTCCAAATCCTCCTTCCTACAGCCGCTGATACCTGGCTGGTGGCCTTGGAAGCTGGAGGGGAGTGAAAACCCCAAAGAGCATCCAGCTGTGGCAGGACTTTGGTTCTTTCAGAAAGTAAAAAGGGACCAAAGGGATTTCAAAGAGGTTTTCATCCCTTGAAGGACTCACTGATATCAATTGCCTCTGGGGAAAGGAACTGGGTGGCCTAGGGGACAGGGAAGGAAGAGGGACTTTTCATTTTCTATCCTTTTGTAGACTTTTTGAATTTTGACCATGGACGCATATTCCCTATTCAAAACAACACATTTAACATTTTAAAGTCTTTTCCTATGTAAGTCAGAGCAGGGTGCACAAAGGCAATGAAATGCGTCGTGTAATGGAGGGCAGAGAGTTTCCAGTCGGTTAGACTGATTTGAATCTCAGTTCTGCCATGTACAACATGGGTACCCTTGGTTAAGACCTTCCCCTCTCCAAGCCTCAGCTTCAATTATAAAATGGGAATAATGGTACTCGCCTCCCTTCGCACCTGCCGTGAGAATTAATGAGTTGACCTGTGTAGAGTGCTTAGCACAGTGCTAGGCACATTCACAGTGGGGTGAATAGTGGCCCCCAAAAGATGTGTCCCAAGTCCTAACCCTCCAGAATCTATCAAGGTGACCTTGTTTGGAAAAAAAGGATCTTTGAAGATGTAATTAAGGCTCTCGAGATGAGATCATCTTGGATTAAGGGTGGGCTCTCAATCCAATGACAGGTATCCTTGCAGAGGAGAGAGGGAGATCCGAGACACAGAGAAGGTGGAGTGACCAGGGGCAGAGACTGGAGTTATCCAACTGCAAGCCAAGGATGGCCAGCAGCCACCAGAAACTAGGACGGAGGCATGGAACGGATTCTCCCTCAGAGCCCCCAGAAGAAACCAACCCTGCCGACATCTCATTTATTTTTAGCACTGAATAATGTTCTATTGTTTAGAGGTACTACAACTTATTTACCTACTCACCAACTCAAAGACATCTTGGTGGCTTCAAGTTCTGGCAACTATGAAAAAAGCTGCTATGAACGTCATGGAGGTTTTTGTGTGGACACATTTTTCAACTCCTTTGGGTAAATACCATGGAACCCAACCGCTGGAATGTATGGTAAGAGAGTGTTTGGCTTTGTCAGAAACCGTCCTACTTTTGGGAGCGCCTGGGTGGCTCAGTCAGTTAAGCGTCTGCCTTCGGCTCAGGTCATGATCCCAGGGTCCTGGGATTGAGTCCCACATCGGGCTCCCTGCTCAGCAAGGAGCCTGCTTCTCCCTCTGCCTGCCTCTGTCTCTCTCTCTCTCTGATAAATAAATAAAAATCTTTAAAAAAAGAAAAGAAAAGAAACTGTCCTACTTTTGCATTCCCACCAGCACTGAATGAATTGAGCTCCTTCACATCCTCAACAGCATCTGGAGTTGGAACTGTGAATACTGGCCATTCTGACACCTATGTAGTAGTACCTCGTGGTTGTTAACTTGCATTTCTCTGATGACATATGACCTGGAGTGTCTTTCCATACGCTTATTTGCCATCTATAGATCTTTGGTGAGCCATCTGTTAAGGTCTTTGGCCGATTTTTTAAATCAAGTTATTTGCCTTTTTTAGGATTGATATGGAAGAGTTCTTCGTATTTTCTACACCCCTTGTTAGGTATCTGCAAATATCCTCTCCCATTTGGCGAACTGTCTTCTCTCCCTCTCTTGACTGTGTCTTTTGAGACACACATTTTAAATTCTGATGAAGTCCAATTTATCTATTTTTTTCTTTCGTTGCTTGTGATTTTGGCATCACATCTAAGAAGGCTTTGCCTGATCCAAGGTCACAAAAATTTACTCCTATCTTTTATTCTAACAGATTTATAGTTTTAGCTCTCCCCCTTTTTAAAAAAAATAATCACAGAGCAGGGCTTCAGGCTTAAAGCTTTCAGCCAGCAATGGTAGCTAGTAAAAAAGAATGAACATACTATATCACCTTGATATGCATTTTTATCTTATATGTAAGGGAAAAAATTCCCAGTTTTTTCATATGCTGTAGAGTTATAAAATTTCCATTTAAGATAAGTAAAAAAGTGGATCAACATAAAGAAAAATACCAAGGAAACAGCAATACAGGAGGTATTATGGATACAGCATCCTGTTTGAGGTATAAAATAAAGTTTGGAAAATTGTTATCGTAATGCTTGAAAACACAAGTTCTGGATTCAACAGGCCTGAGATCTGAATCTCATTTTGTGACCCTAAGCAAGTGACCTCCCCTTTCTGAGCCTCAGGGTAACATACTAAAACATACTAACTTCACAGGGTGGTTGTGTGGATTTCGTGATATAACACACACAGACAAGCACCCTTCAGGCATATAATCAGCACCCACTAAAATGGTACCCTGGCCTCCATTTGATGCTTCCATTTTACTCCCATCACCTCAAATGCATTCCATCCACCCTACAAAGGATGCATTTAATTTCTTCTTCCTCTGCAAATTGATTTGTGATTTTACACCAATTGTCGTAAGAAAAACTACCAGTTTGGGAGTCAGATGGACCTGGGAACTAGGCCACTTCCTAGCTACGTGACCCTAGACAAGGGTTTGCCTCACCCTGGGCCTCAGTTCCCAATGATAATGAGCCTTACCTGTCACTCAAAGCTCGATCTTTCGAGCGGTAGCATCAACATTGCTGGGAATTTGCTAGAAATACAGCAACTGCACCTGCGCGCCCCGTCCTCGTCAGAAACTGAATTTTAACAGATCCCCAGGGGCTTGCCAAACACGTGAAAGTTTAAGAAGTTCTGACGTGAAGTGGGTTAGCAAAGCACAGATCTTCTGGTACACGTTCAACAAGGACTGACGATGGTGGTGATTATCACCCTGCCTCTACAAATTTATTAGCCCTGCGGCCTGAGTCAGGTTTAAGTTAAGTAACCCCTCTTGTTTCCTCATCCCTAAAATGGAGGGAATAATAGAACTCACCTCAAAAGGTTGCTGCGAGGGTTAAACGAGCTACCCAATGTAAAGCAATTAAAACAGCGCCCGGCACACGGGAAGGGCTCCATAAACGCTTGCAGTAATACCAACACCCATTGCTCTTAGTTGCTAATGTTATTTGCCTCCCGCCTGCTGCCGACAGAGGCCGCAGTTGCCGCGCTTTGGGCCTGCCAGGGAGGGAGAGATCCACTGCGAAGAGCTCAAACGCAGACCGCCCCGGCCTCCCAATCCTCCCAGGTCAGGAGGGCCTGGGCTCCCCCCCACGGCCGCCCGGGAGCCCCGAGCCCACACTCACGCTCTCCAGCACGTCATAATTGGCTTTGATCTGCGCCTCGATCTCCTCCTTGCGCCGTATGAGCTCCTGGACGTCGCTGACCGTCACCGCGCCGGCCTGCGGGGAGTCTTCGCTCTGTCTAGTTTCGCCCTCCGACATCGTGGACCTCCGCGCGGGATCCTGGACACCAGGCTTCCCGGCTTCCGGGATGCGGACGCCCGAGGAGACTGCGGCTACGGCTTCGCCCGTGGGCCAAAATTCCTCGCCATCAGCGAGCCGGAGTTGAAGGGAGGGGCGTGGTTTTGGGGGGCGGGGTCGCCGGAAGCCACACCCTGCTGGAACAAATCTTCCAGAGACTGGGGAAGGCCAGTATGGGGGAGAAATGGGTTCCAGGTCCCTCACCAGCCAGAACAAGATGATCTCTCCCTCGATGACTCATTTGCTTTCACATTCATTCAGCAGACATCTATTGAGTGCCTACCGTACGTTTTTGCCAAAGCACTGTGCGGGGCGCTCCAGTTCAGTTCTTCACATCTACCCAGCCCTTGAGAGTTAACAAAACACATTCAGATTCCTTACCCCCCATTTTTTTTTAAAGATTTTATTTTTTAAAATTATTATTAATATTATTTTGTAGAGAGAGAGTGTGCACGCGGGAGGTGGGAAGGGGCAGAGGGAGAGAGAGAATCCTAAGGATGCCCCACGCCCAGAACGGGGCGGGGGAGGGGGTTCCATCTCATGACCTTGACATCATGACCTGAGCAGATATCAACAGTCAGATGCTCAACCGACTGAGCCACCCGGCACTCTGAGATTTTATTATTTTTAAGTAATCTCCAAACCCAACGCGGGGCTGGAACTTGCAAGCCCCGAGATCAAGAGTCGCATGCTCCGCTGGCCGAGCCACCCAGGTGCCCCTCCTTAACCCCCATTTTACAGACCCTACAGGCTTAGGTTCAAGTCTGGTTCTTGCCACTTACTGCAACGTACATGACCCTAGGTGAATTACTTCACTGCTCTGAACGGGTTTCCTCATCTATAAAATGTTTGGATATTGACAGCAATATATCTCAGAGCTGTCATTTTGCCAACAAATATTTATTGACTGTCTCCTCTAAGTCATACATTGTCCCAGGAGCTGGAAAGGTAAAGAATTGAGTTACGACTCAGTGCCTCTTACATATTAAGGCCTCTATAAATTTTCGCAAACGTAGTGATGATAATAATTTATCAAATACTTACAATGTGCCAGACACTGTTCTAAGTGCCTTACATGTATCAATTCAACAACCTTGTGAAACCAGGATTATTATTGTCCTTATTTGACAACTGAGAAAACCCTTTCAATAAACAACTTGCCCAAACAGCAGAATAAGCTTCCAAATTTTCAACCCAGCTTCACCAAATGATGAAAGTTGACATCCAAACATGTGCCCCCTAATATTTTGCACTGAAAAGGACACACCATCACCTATGCAGTATTCAAACATGTATGTCCTAAATCTAATCATGGTAAATAAACACAAATCCAAAATAAAGAACACTCTTCAAAACAACTGGCTTGAACTCTTCAAAAAAGGTCAGTGTTGTGAAATACACATATACAAGCTCGGCAATTGCCTAGCTTAAATACTAAACAAACACAACAATTAAATGCAATGTGTGATCCTTGATTGAATCCCAGCCCCCCCAAAAAAAAATCCAAAACAAACAAACAAACAAAAAACACCCTATAAAGGACATTCTTGGGACAATTGGAGGAAATTTTAACACGGAGTGTAGTATTGATGGAAATTTTCTGATTTTGATCCTTGTACTGTGGTTATATAAGACAGGATCCTTAGCAAATGCACCCTATGGTATTTAGGGGCAAGAAAGGCAACTTACTTTCAAATGGTTCAGAAAAAAAGTACAAATATACTTACAGACAAGAGGATGATAAGGTAAATGTGATAAAGTGTAAATAATTGGTGATTCTGAGTGAAACATATATTAACATTCTTCTTACTATCTTTGCTACTTTTCTGTAAGTTTGAATTCTTTCAAAATAAAAAGTTACAAAAGTAATCTTTACACAGAAAAAAAGAATTGATTACATTCGGCCTCCTATATTTTGTTCAATTATCTTTTATTTTTTTAAATATTATTTATTTGAGAGAGCGAGAAAGCACAAGCATGGGGATGGACAGAGGGAGAGGGAGAAGCAGACTCCCCACTGAGCAGGGAGCCCAACGTGGGACATGATCCAAGGACCCTGAGATCATGACCTGAGCCGGATGCAGATGTTTAACCATCTGAGCCACCCAGGCACCCCTCAATTGTCTTTTTTAAATAAACTAACATTTCTAACATTGACACCCCCCCCAAAAAAAGAGAAGAGAGAGACATGGTAACTAAATACAGTGCACAATCCCTAATTAGATATTAGATTTAAAAAAAAATAAAAAGCAGCAGGGGCACCTGGCTGGCTCAGTTGGAGAACATACGACTCCTGATCTTGGGGCTGTGAGGTCCAGCCCCACATTGGGTGTAGAGATCACTAAAAAAAAATTTAAATTTTTTTAAATTTTTAAAAATCAATAACAGCAGCTTTAAAAGACATTATTGGGACAACCTGTTGAAATTTTTATTATGAACTTTATATTAGATTATAGTATTGTATCAATGTTAAATTTCCTCAGTAAGATAATGGGATTGTAATTATATAAGACTCCTTATTCAGGGCGCCTGGGTGGCTCGGTCGTTGGGTGTCTGCCTTCGGCTCAGGTCATGATCCTGGAGTCCTGGGATCGAGTCCTGCGTCGGGCTCCCTGCTTGACGGGGAGCCTGCTTCTCCCTCTCCCACTCCCCCTGCTTGTGTTCCCTCTCTCGCTGTGTCTCTCTCTGTCAAATAAATAAATAAAATCTTTTAAAAAAAAAAAAAGCCTCCTTATTCAGAGAGATGAATGCTAAAGTATTTAGAGATGCAGCGTTATAATTTCTGCAACCAACTTTCAAGGGGTTCAGGAAAAAAGCTATACATACACATGCCTAAATATAAAGGTGGTGGGTGTGGGGGGATAGAGAGGGAGAGAGATAGATTGAGGGAGAGCAAAATGTAACAATAGGTAAGGGAAGGATATATGGATGTTTGCAGAAACTATCTTGCAATTCTTGAGGTTTGAAATTTTTCCAAATAAAAGAGGCAGAGTGAAGATTCCTACCCAAGCCTCTTGTGCTACACATGTGGGAAGATTTCCACTGATCTGAAACCAGAGCTACTGTTTAAGTCACTCTATGATGTTATTGTCAATATTGTCATTATTATAAACCTAGATCCAGGGGCGCCTGGGTGGCGCAGTCAGTTAAGCGTCTGCCTTCAGCTCAGGTCATGATCCCAGGGTCCTGGAATCGAGTCCTGCATGGGCTCCCTGCTCAGTGGGGAGTCTGCTTCTCCCTCTTGTGCTCGCTCTCTCTCTCCCTCTCTGACAAAGAAATAAATAAAATCTTAAAAAAAAATAAAAATAAACCTAGATCCAGTACCTGCTACTGCCTTCATAGCTCTGAAATCCATCCATTGCCTCCTCCACCACTCTCATCCCAACATCCCAATCTTTTTCCAGATTGCAGCAGCTTCTGACATGGCCTTAGCTTCCAGGTCACCCCATTCATCCATTCTCCACATTAACAGCCAGAATAACCACCCCAAAGAGTAACATTGTCACTCTACTGCTTAAAAGGTTTCCATGGCTTTCCAGTGTGCTTCTCTTGGCTTCCATGACCCTTCTAATCCCTGCTTGCCTTTGGACACACACACGCACACATACACACACCAGCACATAAACAAACTTATTTTCCAGTCACACTGAACTTCTGGCAGTTTCTGGCACATTTATTGCTCAGTCTCCCTTAGCACTGGGTCTTAGCACCTGCTCAACCCCCTTCTAGAATACCATCTCAGGGAACGCCTGGATGGGTCAGTCGGTTAAGTGTCCGCTCTTGATTTCGGCTCAGGTCACGATCTCAGGATCCTGGGACTGAACCCCAAGTCAGGCTCCACAATCAGCCCAGAGTCTGCTTCTCCCTCACCATCTGCTCCTCCCCCCACTTGCACTTTCTCTCTCTCAAATAAATAAATTAAATCTTAAAAAAATAAAAATCAGGTAAATAAATAAATCTTAAACAAAACAAAACAAAAAACACCGTATCAGGCCAGGCTGATTCCAGCTCCTCTTTCAAAGACCCAGCTCGAACATCACCTCTGCTGGAAATCTTTCTCTGACCCACCCCAAAGCTAGGGGTGCTGTTGGCGGCACTTCCCACCTGGTACTGTAAGTGTGTGTTTACCTGTATGTCCCATGCGCTCAGGACTCTTAGAGTACGTGGGCTAAAGCTTATCTTCAAAAGTTTGTGAGTGAGTGTTTAATGAAGGATGCAAAGAGAACAGGCTGAAGGAACAATGTGCTCCTTCCCCATTCCTGTTGTTCTGGTTCATCTTATCTGCAGGGGCCATGGACAGCCAACAAAGCCTTTGTTCTGGAAAGTTGCCACAATCGAGGAGAATCTAAATTGTTTGTCTCTTCCAAACATCCACGTTGTGCTCATTTTTATTCCAGAACAAGGAGGCCAAGAGATAAGGAATTGGGAAATAGAGCCAGGAAGCTAGAGCTGCCCCAGGAAGACATGGGTCATACTTCATACAGCCTGCCTTCAGCACTCAACAAATCTTCCTTATTTCCCCTCCTGCCCCTGGGAGTCAGACAAACTGGCAAGTCCATTACCTTCAGTCCTGAAGCTATAAACCAAGGAGCTGGACTTCAGGGTCCAAATTGTGTGAATTGTGTTTGTATGAGTTGGTTCACTAGGAGTTTTTATTTATTTATTTTTTAAAGTATGCTCCAGGGGCACCTAGGTGGCTCAGTCGGCTGGTCATCCGACTCTTGATTTTGGCTCAGGTCATGATCTTGGGGTCGTGGGATCAGGCTCTGAGTCAAGCTACACACTCAGTGGGGAGTCTGCTTGAGATTCTCTCCCTCTCCCTCTGCCCCTCCCCCCACTTGCTCGCTCACTCTCGCTCTCTCTCTAAAATAAATAGTAAAGTAGGCTCCACATCTGCCATGGGGCTTGAACTCATGACCCTGAGATCAAGAGTCACATGCTCTTCTGACTGAGCCAGCCAAACACCCCAGTTCACTAAGAGCCGGCACACTCAGAAGGATATTTAAGGGGCATTTAATGAAAGGCCTGTTTACAGAGTCATGGGCAAACTTAAGGGAGCAAATCAAGGATAATGAAACCTTCTGGGACTGGCAA